CCAAGATGACAGTTGACAGTAAAGTAGAATTAAGATTTTAATTCTGTCAGTTATTTTGGGAACTGGTGAAATAATAATAACTTGGAGTTTTTTGAATAAATAAATATCTAAATTATACAGATATAACAGTGGCGACGAGGATATTTTTTTTTGGAATTACATTGAAAAGTATATGTACACAAAAAAAAAATGAATCCACAAGAATTCAAGTTATTTTTCCAAGAAATGCAAAACCAACGTGCGAAAGACACCGAAGCAATGCGTGAACTTTTCAAAGAGTGTTTGCAAATGAAAGCAGTTCCGAAAACAGAAAATCCGGAGCAAACAATGGAGATTTTAGCATCGAGTCTAACGGAATTTGTGTATGATCCAGAAAATAACTTAACATTTGAAACGTGGTATACGAGGTATGAAGATTTGTTTTTAGTAGATGGTAGCAAACTTGATGACGCAGCGAAGGTCAGGCTTCTATTAAGAAAACTCAGTACAACTGTGCATAATAAATATATGGACTTTATTTTGCCTAAGCATCCACGTGAATATAATTTCACTACAACAGTGGAGAAATTAAAACAACTGTTTGGACTCCAAAAGTCACAATTCAGCTTACGCTATAGCTGCTTACAGTTAACCAAACCACCAGATACCGACTATACTACGTACGCAGCCGAGGTTAATAAACAATGTGAAAATTTTAAATTGAATAGCCTGTCACTGGACCAGTTCAAATGTTTAATGTTCGTATTGGGGCTGAAATCGGAAGCAGACTTCGAAATAAGAACCCGAATATTGACCAAACTGGACACAGAAGCTGATACCATCAACTTGGAAAAACTTACAAACGAGTGTCAGCGTATTATTAATTTAAAATCCGACACAGCGCTGGTAGAAAATAAATCACGCGAAAATCAGGTGAATCGAGTACAAACAAATAAGCTTAAGAACAATCACAAACCGAAAACACCATGCTGGTTTTGTGGAGCAATGCATTATGTGCGTGACTGCCCATACAAAAATTATAAATGCGAAGACTGTCACAACATAGGCCATAAGAAAGGTTATTGCAAAGCGAAAAATTTATCAAAATCAAAATGCAATAGCAACAACAAAAATAATACCAATGGTAAAGCAAAAACATTTTCACAGCCACGATCCAACAGTATATACACAACGAACAGCATCACAGCTTCACAGCGTAAATATGTCCACGTTAAAATCAACAATGTGCGAATCAAATTGCAATTTGATACTGCATCGGACATAACTATCATTTCAAAATTTAATTTCGACAAATTAAATATTTTAAATACAATGGAAGTACAACCAGAATCTGCTAAAAGTGCAACTGGAAACTTACCATTGTACGCAAAATTTACATGTGATGTGCAGTTAAAAGACACAATTAGAACACTTACGTACTTCGTTACAACGATCGATTTGAACGTATTCGGATTGGACTGGATAACTGCTTTTCAACTTAGCGATATGACGCTTAATGCTATTTGCAGCCAAATTTCAACAACAAAACAGGCAAGTAATGTTTCAATAAAGTCGTCAAATTGCAAATTTCTTCCGGAAAAATTATTTCCAGAACTTTTCGATAATGCTATGGGTCTTTGTAATAAAACTAAGGCACATTTAATTATTAAACCAAACTGTCAACCTGTTTTTCGACCTAAACGCCCGGTAGCATACGCAGTTCAACATTTGGTTGAAGAAGAAATTAAGCGACTTCAAGATCTCGACATTATCGCACCCATCAATTACTCTGACTGGGCCGCACCAATCGTAGTTATCAAAAAGCCAAATGGTAGCATTCGTATTTGCGCTGATTTCTCAACTGGTCTTAACGACGCGCTTGAATCTTACAAGTATCCACTACCGCTTCCAGAGGATATTTTTGCAAAAATTAGCAATGCAACAGTTTTTAGTCATATAGACCTTTCGGACGCTTTTCTCCAAATCGAAGTTGATAGCAAATCGCAAGAACTTCTCACAATAAACACGCATCTAGGTTTATTCAAATACAAGCGTATGGTTTTTGGCGTCAAAACTTTTCCGGCAATTTTCCAACAAATTATGGATAAAATGCTTGCGGGTTTAGATTGCGCAGCAGCTTACATTGACGATATCTTTGTCTCAGGTAGAAACCAACAAGAGCATGACAACAACTTACATGAAGTTCTACAACGTATTTATCAATACGGGTTTAAACTCAAGATCGCAAAATGCAATTTTTCAGTTCCTGAAATTGCTTACTTGGGATATATTGTCAGTAAAGACGGCATTCGCCCAGATCCAAAAAACATTGAAGCAATCAAGACAATGCCTGCTCCAACCAATCAATCCGAACTTAGATCACTCTTAGGTGCTATCAATTTTTATGGAAAATTCATAAATCACATGCGCAAATACCGAGGACCATTAGGCGAACTACTTCAAAACAACAAGCAGTGGCAATGGACGGAACTTCATCAACGCTGTTTGGATGGTTTCAAGCAAATTTTGTCATCAGAGTTATTATTAGCGCATTACGATCCACTAAAAAACATAGTAGTCGCTGCAGATGCATCTAACTATGGGCTCGGAGCTTGCATTTTTCATGAAGCTGACGACGGTTCAATGAAAGTAATATGTCATGCGTCCAGATCACTAACGCCCACAGAAAAACAATATAGCCAAATAGAAAAAGAAGCTCTTGCGCTTATTTTCGCGGTTACGAAATTTCACAGAATGGTTTTTGGGAGAAGATTCAAACTTCAAACAGATCATAAGCCTCTTCTAGCTATATTTGGTGATAAAACGGGAATTAAGGTGTATCAAGCAAATAGACTTCAACGTTGGGCAATTAAACTGATTGCATACGACTTCGAATTAAAGTTTATTTCAACTAACAGTTTTGGGTATGCAGACGTTTTATCACGACTCATACATAACACAATCAATCCTTCAGAAGACTATGTCATCGCTGCAGTAGAGTTTGAAATTGAAAGTAAACAAATTTTACATAACTCACTTGATAAGCTGCCGCTTACCAGCAAAATGATTACTTACGAAACAGCTAAGGACAAGGTTTTAGCTAAAATTCTCGAATATGTAACTGAAGGATGGCCATAAAACTGCAACAACAGTGAGTTAAAAGCTTACTTTAACCGAAAAAACGACATATGTATAGTTGACGGATGTTTAATGTTCGGACAACGCATTATTATACCTCAAATTTTCCGAAAGCGCATTCTTAAAGAAATTCACCGAGGTCATCAAGGCATAGGTCGTACTAAAGCCATCGCGCGGAACTACGTTTATTGGTCAAATATCGATCACGATATTGAAGCAATGGTGAAAAGTTGTTCAAATTGTGCCGCAGCAGCTAAAATGCCCACAAAAACAACTTTACATCCTTGGCCAAAACCTTCTGATTCTTGGGAACGGCTCCATATTGATTATGCAGGACCAATAGATTCATACTACTATTTGGTCGTAATCGATGCGTTCTCAAAATGGCCAGAAATTATACAAACAAAATCTATAACAGCAACTCAAACAATTTCCAGCTTGAAAGAAATTTTCGCTAGATTTGGGTTACCGAAGACAATAGTTTCAGACAATGGTACTCAATTTGTGAGTCACCAATTTCAACAGTTTTTAGCGGAAAACGGCATTAGTCATATACGAAGCAGTCCGTACTATCCCATGTCAAATGGACAAGCCGAAAGGTTTGTGGATACTTTAAAACGAGCACTCAAAAAGTTAAATGGGAAGGGGGTAACTGCTGAAAATCTTCAAACATTTCTACAAGTTTACCGATCAACTCCGAATAAGCAAAATGAGGACAGTAAATCGCCAGCTGAAGTTTTACTAAAAAGAAATATCCGTATTAAACTTGACTTAATTAAACCAACGCCAAATGCCAAGTTTAAAAAGAAGTGCGATACACAACTCAAAATGAAAGCGCAATTTGACAAAAGGCACGGTGCAAAGCCAAAGTTTTACGAAAAACAAGAGCTCGTTTATGTCAATATATTCAAAAACAAACACTTTGAATGGACAAAAGGTAAAATAATCGAACGCATAGGTAACGTCATTTATAATGTTCGCTTACAAAATGGCAAACTTATTCGTGCACATGCCAATCAAATTCGTGACCGTAAAGATCAAGAAAATGAGTTATCTTTAGAAATATGTGCTTCCGAAGATATCGCCAACGAAAAGTGTTTAGTTGATGCATTTGGCCTCTACGAAACAACACCTAAAGATGTGGTCGAAATAACTAACAACAACATGGTTTCGACTCCAAATCAATCTTTCAACAAAGTAACCGAGATTGCAATCCCTCAAACTGAGAAGCACAATGAGGCAGTTGTTCCGTATACCCGACCAAGGCGTACTAGACATCCTATTGACCGTTATAGACCCTAGAATCACCGCATTGGAGATTTAATCTCAAAAGGGGAGGTGTTGGCAACTCTGCCAAGATGACAGTTGACAGTAAAGTAGAATTAAGATTTTAATTCTGTCAGTTATTTTGAACTTGTGAAATAATGATAACTTGGAGTTT